GTAAGAGAACATTATATAAGTTTTTTGGGACGACGTTATCGCTTGTTCGTATCCTTTTCATTTAACCGGCTTTTTCTATATTATCTTGCTCTTGTTTTATGGCTGGTTGTGTATGGTATTATAGTTATGGAGATTTGGTGTAGCAGAAATACAACGTACTCGCTATTGATCAACGCATAGAGGACAACGAATGTTTTGACCGAGTGGCATCTGGTCGCCGCCTCAGCCCCTCAAGCGCCTCTGATTTCAAGTGCTTACATAATACCACCAGACGATTTGTCCCCTTTCAAATAAGCGCTGATAGCCACCCATTTGTTAGCACCGATCTCCGGAACCCGACCTCACGTACAACCATGTCGACTGGTCTCATCTTTCAATCGCATCAAGCTTCACTGAGAGCGCGTTCAACTTTCAGCGCGACAACAACGGCAAGGGCGGCGCGGCAAACGATCACGTCCTCCTTTCTGTGCAAGACGCTAGCGGAACCAACAACGCCAACTTTGCTACCCCACCCGACGGCCAGTCTCGCCAGATGCGGATATTCACGTTTACCCTCTCGTCTCCTAGCCGCGATGGTGTCCTTCAGAACGATATTGTCACGTACGAGTACACTCATGGTCTCAGCAACCCCTCTACTGGCGGAGGTATCGCGAGAGTGAATTGATGAGTAAAGACAGTATATATGCGTACTGCGCACAAGTAGAAGAACACAACAAATAATATCAGACAGAACCGAAAATAGCCAGCACAAGTGAGGAGGCGAAATGAGCATAAAGTAAGGTGGTACGAGGCCGAACTACAGAAGACGGTAAACAAAGTCACAGGAGTGAATAAAAAAGCTGCAAACGAAACACAAGATAAGTATAAGGAATAAAGCATGAAGTCACAATATTTTTGGATGTATGAATGAAAAATGGTACTTGACGAAACGTAAGGTAGGATAGAGCGCTGAAACCAGACTATAAATACAACCACGAGAATCATCGACAGGACGAAGGCCGCGTATAAAGCGAGGAATAATAGACCTTCGTCTTGCCAACGATTCAAGCGGTTCCTAGCGTATTCGATATCTTCTGTAGAGACTATCGTTGATCCGTTTGGTGTATACCGGGACGCTGGTACCGGAAGTTCAGGGGTAGGTGATTCATGAAGTTCGGGGGAAGGTGATTTAAGGTGTGAGTTTGTTGAGGATGGACCAATTACTTCGAGACTAGCCAACTCGGGTCTATCATCTCCAGCCGCTTGTGGACATCAGCGGGCAGCAGAGGAAGGCGCTCACTCTTCCAAAGTTCCATACTTTCATTGGCGATCTGTCGTTCCTCAGGGGTAAATGGACGCGGCAGAGGGCCCTGGGACTGGGGTTTGATGGAAGCTGGAAAGATCGATGCCAGCTGACTGATGGTCTCCTCCCCGGGACCACGTTCCCAGAGATTAGGTCCTGGATAAATAGAGGTGGGAGGAGTGGGGTCATGAATGAGATGCTGCAGATACGCCACAGGCTTCTTCAAATATGAGTCTAGTCAACTCGGTCCAGTGAGCTTGACTGCCAAACATACTAAGACAGTGCTCAGTACTCACATTCTTCCATGAAATTGATGTAGAGAACCGCGTCAAGCGGGTCGAGCTAAACAAACGAGGCGCGTAGCGCAGAGGTTAATGTACAACGGTAAGATAGATAATCTAAACGAAAGAGAAAGAACGAGACGTACTGGCTCAGTGGACGTGGGGAACGAACAGCTGAGCTGGCACGGAATCAAACAGCGGCCTATAAGTACCAGACGAATAGGGGCGCGGCGTCGGGTCGGCACACGCATAGGGGCTGACCAATCGGAGACAAACAGTGGTGGCCACCCACTACAACAATTGAGTGTATCACTTGGAATAGCCACAGATCTCGGTGGAGCAACGCCAATGAGTGGTTGAGCATTACATGGCATTTTATCTCACTGTATTCTTTGATACATTTATTGCACGTTACACGAACGTACAGTCGGGCCGTGCGGGACACAGCCCAGGAGCACAAGATAAGAGGCAGGCGGGAGCAACAAATGAATGCTACTCACAAGTTGTGAAGCTCATCCTAGCTGATTACCTAGACAAACTATAACGTCTGAGTGGCTTTGGACACTCCTGACACACCCAGTTCACGCAATCTGACAGTCTTACTGGCATTACAAAGCGCTAGGGTGCTACTTGCGGGCTGTCGAAACTTACCCCAGATGGTCGCTCAAACAAACCAGGCTATCTAGGCGACCTTGGAGACTCTTGGCTTAGTCGATTCAAGCGATTTGGCCCGACCAACGATCTTAAATCTTCTATCCGGTTCTTTCAACACGGCACTGAGCTCGTTGTCGCCAGGCTAAGCACGCAGCTTTAATGCGCTCGAATCTTGGCCCAACTGTCCGTTCTTGCTGATTTCTGGGGCGGCCGGGCCCCCCCCCCCGCGCGGGGGGGGGGCCGCGGGGGGGGGGTGGGGGGGGGGTTTGGGGGGGGGGGGGGCGGGGGGGGGGGGGGGGGGA